CCACCGTATTCTTCAAAGTCCATTCCTCGATCCAGCAAGCTATCATAAAGTCGAAAGGATGCTGTGCAGTTACCAGTGCAACCGGCTACAACTTGTGCAAACTTTTAACATACGCAAATGCGCGATTGTCAGCATGAGACATGTTGCTCTTTTCTACACTCCCATTAAACAAGAATCGAGACTGATGTGATTTGAATCTGCCCAATTAACACATTAAAACTCGACTGAAACGCTGCAGAAACCCGGCGTCAAATTAGTCATAAACTATAACCAAAAATAGCGAGCGCGTTTGGTAAGGCGGCTTGGTTAAAAAACAAACACTTCCATTCGCCCAGCAGAGCTCCAGGTAAGAGAGATAGAAAGAGAAGTAGATGAGGGGCATGTAACTCAAACCACAATTACTTCGTCGGCAAGATTTGCATTAAAATTTCAAATCAGCATTCACAAACCCAACAGAAAGAATTTACCAAGTCCACACAAACAAAAATAAGACTGGAACCCACTAGTGAGGCAAACTCATTCTACCAAATACAACATCAAACTATTTCCTTTTTACGAAACTACGAAGTCAAATAAAACGAAGTTGGGATGCATGAAATGTAGGTAGACAGAACAGAGAGGGATCTAAAGAGAGGCTCTGATAATAGTAACTTTCAATGCATTAATTTTTTTCTAAATTGTTATAGATGCATCTGTGGGCCGGGTGATGCCTGATGCATTTAATGAAGAGGCTCGCCTTCTCCTGACGTTGACAAATTCGATGTACCATAGTGAAGATGGGAAAGTCTGCCTCCAAACCACGAGCATGCAGCATCTCGAAGACGTCTCCGGCAGTAAGCACGCCCTGTGCCGATTGGCCGCCAAGAAGCTCGGCCTCAAGATCAACTACCGACTTTTCCGACGTCGCCAACGCAACCCCTATCTTGCGATTTCGACCACCATAACAGGTGGTAATTAGGTCAGCGACCCCGCAGCTCTCTAGGAAAGTTGACTCCTGAGGATCTGTTCCAGAAGAAAAACGCCAGACGTTATTTCGCTTTCAGATGGCATTGGACGTCCAACTTAAGCCAACCAATGGCTACACATGTCAACAGCTATGAATTTTAAGAAAATTGTATCCATAATATAACCTACTGCAAAATGCCCAAAGAAAAGCTAAATTAACTATGATGTCTAGAGATAAAATTTCAGCTAACCGCAGTTATGGGGCAATAAAGAAAACAAACGCCTCTAAGGCCAACCTCAGCCCATGCATTGCGCAACTTGCTTATGAGATGGGATAAGTTGAGCGAAAATGGCACACACAATGGTGGTAAATGGGTGGTACTGCGAGTATTGAAACAACAAAGCTCCGCAACGATATTAACGGTATGTTTAAAACCATAATCAGCGACATAAATTTTTCTCTCAATTTGGACAAATGGCGCACCAAACAAAAAAATCAGGCAGCAACGCCAAACTTTTGATCCCAACGGTACGCTTGATTGGTGTAAACACCTAGTAGTTAAATGGAGAAAAACACCTCCCCGGGGAATTGCACAACTCACTATCAGCAAAAAATAATCACAAATGCGTGAAACTATATGGCATTTCCCTCGCCACCTAATCATATAACCCGTATGGAAGAGAGGGAGAGTAATTGAATTCCTAACATCCCTTGTGAGCCAGTGTGAGAGCGACTGTGTATGTGTGTGCGTGATACGGAATGGGCAAAAGTAGGAAAGAGGTGCGATGAAAGCGATATGCGGCGGGCAGAGGGATAGTAATTCCCGTCTCAAAGGAGACACGGTCAGAGAAATGATAGCATTAAGTTAAAAGCACGCATACAACTGGTTTAAATGCCGTCCTGTTTCCTCTTGCAGTGATGTTATCCCACTATCCTACCACTGCTACTGGTTTATTGACGAAAATAAGACTGCTCAGCTTTTGCAACAATAACGGGGAAATTGGTACACACGACGAACGAGAAAAAGACAATTAA